GAAATAGTTTGATGTGACGTTGAGAGTGGTAACATTGATTTTCGTCAACATTTTCTCAACCTATTTTATAAGAGGGTATTTTCGGTATTTTACTATTAGTCAACAACTATGATTATTCTATTTTATTAAGTTGGCGTTTCAACACTCAAGTTCAACATTTTGTTTTTTTTAATATATGGTTGCATACGTGCATATTTGAGAAAATATACAGATCAAAAAGTCTGTTAAAAATATGACGCTAAGATTGTCAACGGCCAAACAAATGGATGGGTCATGCGACACATCAAAATGAGTAATTTTTAGTATGGGTTATGGGTCTAGTCCGATGGCCAGTCAACATTTTTTTTTCAACGTACTTAAATTTATAAATAATTAATATTATCAAATATGATTAGAAAAACAGTAATTTTTTACTCGTTTGACCTGTTCAACTTGGACCATTTTTTATCAGGTTTTTTTATTTTTACCTTATTGAATAATGTCAGATAAAATATAACACCAAGTTGATCAATTTTAAAACAATAAAAAGAATACTGCTTATAATGAATGGTGAACTTGGTACGATATCAAGTTTTCCCCCGATACGCAAAATCACATTGTGCTTTCTTAATTTTAATTAATTATGGAAAACGTCCATGTTGTTTGCATTTTCACACGCCTTTGGTCCCTGTAACCTAACATCGTTAGATAACTTTGTTAAGTAACTTAATTAGAAGGGCAATTTAGTCCTTCCATAATCTTGTGTTTCCTCACTTCTCTCTCCGTCCTCCGGCCACCATCATCCGGTGATACCACTGTGATACCTAAAAATATTGACTCTGTTAAACAAAAGATATGGTGTGATACCCAAACATATATAAGATGCATTGTGATACCCAAGCACATATATGATGCATTGTGATGCCATTGTGGTATCACCGGAGGACGGTGACCGGAGGACGATGGCCGGAGGACGGAGAGAGTAAAGAGAAGAGAGGAGAGTTTTAAAATACCTAAAATAACCTTGCATTAAAATTTTAATTCAAAATTACCAAAATTATAAAATTTCTAATTTATCTATTGATTTGTGGTTGAGATTGGATCTCACGGTTACCACAAACTAATTAGTTCTCATTTGATTAGACCCCTATATATATATATATATATATATATTCTTCAATGAGTCAGTCCCTCCGATACCCTCCATTTTCTTTTCTTCTCTTACCGACCCATCCCTCTCTTCACGGTCACCAACAACAGACACAGAGAGTTCCGATCACTGGTACCTCTTGGAGATGGTTGAAAGTGAAGAGAGGGTGGGCCATGTTGTTTTAATATAATGAATTACACGATTGGTCCCCATGAACTTTTCAATAGAAAACAAATAAATTATGAAATGACTAAATTACCCTCCCAACAAACCTATTTAACAAGGATGTTTTAACAGAATTAATACACATGAACCAAAAAGCGTATGAAAAGGCAAACCATACAGACGTTTTTCATAATTATTCTGAATCAAGGACGCATAACATAATATTTGTATAAACCACATGGACCAATCAGATAATTTACTCTTATAATTTTGTTACAATTTATAATAAAATAATTCAATAAAAAAAACCATATTCAATCACATCAACATTATTAGGCCACTAAAGAGAGATAATGGTTGGTGACTTCCCCATTCATAATGGAATACTTTTTCACATGGAAGTGATTCTTCTCTCTGCCTTTTTCTTACTTAGTGATTAACCTCTTTAATTATTATATTTCCATTTTTTTATTTATTTATTGTTTTCTCATGTAAAAAAAAAACCAAATATTTATTATAATACTAAAAATCAATAAATAATCACATAAAAATGTAACATACTTTATTTTATAAAAATCTATATCATTTTAGAAAATATACTAAATATGCAAATAATTAAATATATTATAAGTTTTTAAACAAAAGAATTGAGTTTATAGGACGCCACCAATTTCTAAGCATCATAACAAGACTACTTTATAAGATCAAAAAAATAAAACATCATATTTAAAGACATTGTAATAAGTTTATATGATGCTTTTGGGTGTTTTAATAAGTACGTAATTAACTATTTTATATGACACTTTTGAGAAAGTGTTTCTATTAACCCATCTTTTTATATAAGACATTTGTCAAACGATGTCCTATGAAATAGTTAGTACGACGCGTTTTTATAAAAATGTCCTAAAAACTTGTTATTAAGACATTTTATTTTTTGATTTTATAAATTAAGTCTTATAAAGCAGTCTATTAAGATGCTTAAAATTTGACATCTTATAAACTGATTTTATTGTAGTGTTTGTTTGTTCGTTCGATGTTGTTCATTCCTGTATGGTGTCTAATTATAGAACATGTCTTTGTGCGGTGTCCGATTATATGGTATGAAAAATATATTTTATTTCAGATATGTTTGGAGATTTAACGAAGACTTGTATGTGACTCTGATTTCTTTATCGTATTACGTGTCTTAAAAATGACCATCTATATATTTGTTCTACATATTCGACGTTAACTTATGAAAAACAGGTTTGATTAGAAAAAGGGATGCCGATTCAGATGAAATGAAAGGTTGTTGTACTGCAATATTTATTAAGACATACATACGACAACAGAACCATACATTATGTAAAAAGAAAAGAGTGATCAGTCTTTTGAACCATATAACTGTATATGTAAAAAGAACCTTTATCTGATTATTTCACCATGAACAATTAAAAAATCAAAATCATGACCATGTTTTTTTTTACCGAAACACATAGAATTGACGACTTTAAATCACAACAACAGATTTAAATGTCCAGCAAAACATCTGTTTACACACATTTATCATACAAATATTCTTCTTGATATGAGCATAATCAAATACTGTTTTAATGACGAATTAAATTTTTTAAAAAGAAAGTACGTAGCTGGTTTACTGGTTAAATTCATTTTTATTTGGTCCAAACCTGAAAAAACAACATGTTAGCATTCTTTTATACGGGATCCACTAGATCTAAGGATCTGCTGACTATTCAAAGTCGATGTTTCACAATTGTTTGAAAATTCTTTCCAAATTACATACCATATCTTTTACATTTATGTATATCTTATGACGCGCATTGATCATTAATTCTTTCAAAAGACCTTACCCTTTTCCAAGAAACAACACATATCTGGTTTCTAGAAAAATCTTAGAAACCACGTTTATCAGTTAAGTAGCAAAAGCAGCTTAAAAAAGAAAGATCTGAACGGTTACAAAGCTGTGTATCATTAGTGTTATAAAAACGTTCAGCTGTCTGCTGAAAACAAAATCAATGAACAAGGGATTTCAATAATTACATTCAGTACATTTAATAACATATAAAAATCAAATTAGATTTGTGTTATTCGTCAATATTTTTTCGTACTTTCTTGATATAAACATTCCATTTGTTACATCGGAAAGTGGACGCCACTTTCTATCTACAATCCAAAAGGGAAAAAGGAAAAAAGAAAAAAACTATAGATAGGTCACGTATGAAATAATTGGCAAGTGTGGTCAGTGTTTCGAAAAGGAGATTGACGTCATTTTACAAGTTGAATCAAACGATAATAATAACAGTGATACAATTTTGACCAATCTAGAACCCGTACTTTAAGTTAAAACTAGTTGTGTACCCATGCAATGCAGCGAGAGCCGTGAATTTTAACTATTTTGAAGTTTCACTCGTTTTATTAGAAAAAAATTAACGATAATATAAGTTACACTTGGTTTTTACATATTAATACAATTTGAATAAATAAGAGTTATGGTTTCAATTACAGTCTATCAATGAAACAAAAATTGTATGATAGTTTAAAATCCAATATATTTTTAAAATCCAACATATTTAAACGACTCTACAAATGTGTTCGATTTATACCAAGAACAAAGAATCAATAGATCGAGAGCAAGACCAAGAGTTATAGAACAATTGAATGAAAGATGAATGAGATAACTTTTAATAACTCATGATGAATATTAGTTTGAATTTCACATTGGAGGATGAGAAGAAGACATAGAGATATGAGAAGGTGAAGACATGAGTGAAATATGTCAAAAGTATTTTGAAAACATGAAAAGAAAAGACAATAAAATGCATTGATAACTCCCATTATATGTTATTTTAATCGTAGATTAAGAGATTTTAAGATTAAATGCATAAAGTAGTAGTATTTAATGCATTATGAGTTGTTTTTAAGACTTTTAAAACTTTGTGCATAAATGTATAGTACTTTGTGTATTAAAAATTGTTTCTAAGACTTTTGATAAATTTGGTTTATAAGGTAGTATAGATATACAAACCCTTACAAAACTTTTTTAAAAATAACGTGACACGTTTAACTAGCCCGATACTCTAACTTAGATAACTGTTCTTGACATGGTATAACACGAAATTGTAACTGATATAATTATATTAAAAGATTTATTTTCTAATTTAATTTTATTCATTAAAACTTGTAAATTATAATGGAGTATTTTTATTTGTAATTAATGATTTATATATAGTTAATTTAATTTAAATTAAAAAAAATAATTTTTTTTAATTTAAAATGTAAGAAAACTAACCTGATAAAAACCCTTTTCTTTTGGGCTAAGAAAACAAATAAAATTTCCAAAATTAATTATTAATTTTTTTAAGATTTAGCAATTTGAGGAGGTGGGGTCCACGAGGAGAGAAGGCGTTCCCCTGAGGTCAGCCACACCGTAGCAAATCCTAAAATGTAAGAAAAACCTTTATAAAGAAAGTCCGGAAATCGAGCAGAATATAAATAAGAAATAAAATTAATTTGAAATTCTAATTAAAAAACGTTCTTATCAAATGATAATTCATGTCAATTATCACATGGACACAGTGATAAGTTGTCTAACGTATCATATCCCTAATCCCCTTTCCCTATCATCTCGTACAACCCGTGTTCTCTCCAGTAGTATTTATATCTTGTCCTTTGGTTCTTCGCTTCACACCTCCTTGCTTTCTCTCTCTAAAACCATCCATATTTTCTCTCTCTAGAAATCCCTAAAAGAAGAGAGAGACAGGGGGAAATTTCAGTAGAAAGGGTTATTCCATTCTCTCTCTAGAAGCCCTACGATCTGTTCTTGCAATCTATCGTCGTCTAATTCAAAGGTAATTGAAAGTTGTAATCTTGACAATTTCGCACACATACGCATCTACTTGATCTCATGATTACAGAGGGTTATGTTTATAGATTACGCATCTAGTGATTATGTATATCGATGTTGATGTTTTTGTATGTATACGTGTGTGTGTTGTCTGTAAATTCTTAGGTTTTTGGTTGAATGAACAATTGGGAGTTCTATTAGGGTTTTTTGTTGTTGACTTGTTTAGCTGAATTTTACGTAAATAGTGGTTTGAACTATCCGATCTGTGAGGATGGAGGTAGTTGTTGATTTATTTTATGTATTTATTCTTTTTTTGATTTTGATTTTCTTGCAGTTGTTGGGAAAGCTATGTCGTCTCTCAGCAGAGAGCTTGTATTTTTGATACTTCAGTTTCTAGATGAAGAGAAGTTCAAAGAAACTGTTCACAGGTAGGGTTTAATAAAATTTCTGTATTGGTTATTTTATCTTTTATACTTTTTGTGTAAATTGCCAAGTTTTCTTAATGTTTGGTTGTGGTTATGGATGTGTTGTTGTCTTTGTGTAATTGTTTTTGTTGTTGATGTGGAGGTTGGAGCAAGAATCAGGATTTTTCTTCAATATGCGATACTTTGAGGAAATGGTGACGAATGGTGAGTGGGATGAGGTGGAAAAATATCTGTCTGGATTCACGAAGGTTGATGATAATAGATATTCAATGAAAATCTTCTTCGAGATACGAAAGCAGAAGTACCTAGAAGCCCTAGACAAGTATGTATTGCTACAACTCTAGGCATTTTCGTGCGTTCATGCCCTACCACTTTTTCTTGCATTTATTACAGGTGATGATGTTAACAAACCAAGAAATGTGACTAAATATGCATTAGAGGTCGAGGAGGTCTAAAACTTTTAATGATTTTTTTCCCTTTAAGTTTCTCTCATGGTCTTGATTTGACATATAGTGACCTTTTTGATTCTTATTTTTGGTTTGTATACCATCACTCATGTTTGATTTACAAGATTCTTTCAAACTTTAGTTGCGGTGGTAGATTGTTATAATCTGATTACTTTGTAGGAAGGACCGTGCTAAAGCCGTTGAAATTCTAGTAAAGGACTTGAAAGTGTTTTCTGCTTTTAATGAAGATCTCTTTAAAGAAATAACTCAGCTTCTGACTCTGGAGAACTTCAGGTACGGAAGAATTTCTTGCAAAGAGCTTTGCTTTCCATGATATTAATCGCCTAATCCATCCTAACTTTGTTTTATAAAGTCGGTACTCTCTGACATAAATACATGCACATGCACAGGGACAATGAACAATTATCAAAATATGGAGACACCAAGTCTGCTAGGAGTATAATGCTGGGTGAACTGAAGAAGTTGATCGAGGCAAATCCCCTGTTTCGTGATAAGCTAAATTTCCCAAGCTTGAAGAACTCAAGACTGAGGACACTTATTAACCAAAGGTTCTTTTCTTGTCCACTTGTAGCTTTGGGTTTTCTTCAATATCAGGACTTGCTGTTGATATTTCTTTATTGGTTGTAGTTTGAACTGGCAACACCAGCTTTGTAAAAACCCCAAGCCGAATCCAGACATAAAAACGCTGTTTGTTGACCATTCTTGTGGACAGTCACAGCCAAATGGTGCACGAGCTCCATCTCCCGTGACTAATCCATTAATGGGTTCTGTACCAAAGCCTGCAGGCTTTCCACCTCTGGGTGCTCATGGTGTAAGTGTAACTGGCCTTCTATCATTTAGTGGTTTAAACTCCAAAACTGAGGTTTTTAACCCTTCTTCCTGTTCGTATCTAAAGCCTTTTCAGCCTGGACCAGCACCTCTGCCAACATCTCTTGCTGGTTGGATGGCAAATCCATCCCCTGTGCCTCATCCATCAGTTTCTGCTGGTCCTATTGGTTTCACTCCGCCTAATAATGCTGGTATGTAATTTGGTTCTACCGATTGTTTGACGTGATATAATCATTAGCATTCTTTAGAAAAAGTAATATGTCAACCTGTTCTTTTTATTGTATTTACTGTAGTCTGCAATAGAATGCGATATTCCTGACTATCATTATTTCTTGTTTTTTATATTATTGAAGCTTTGTTAAAGCGCCCTAGGACTCCTCCAAGCAACAATCCAGCTGTAGACTATCAAACAGCTGACTCCGAACATGTTTTAAAGAGAACGAGGACATTCGGCATATCTGATGAAGTATGACATACTCTGTCCATTTTTACTCTTCTTTTAATCACCTTCAGGAAGGATCCTGTGAATATTGCTTGATTGTCAAAATTCTGCTCAATTAACTTGTGGGTAAACTGATATCTTAAAACTTAAATGCTTGGTTAATTAAATCAATCTACACTTGCCCTTTTTCTTGTGTTCTTAAAACTGAAAGAACATTAATTTATTTTGAGCATTGATTTCAAAGTTCTCTTAACCAAAAATTTAGGTTTCCGTATTTTTGAAATGGATTAATGTCTGCATCATTTGGAAGCCTTTTCTAGATTTCCTGTGTCCCAAAGGAATTGCACTTTTGATTTGATACACATAATAATAGAAGTCGTTGACTCAACCAAATGCTCTAATATCTTTACAAATTTAAGTTGAGGCTGATTTTTATGGGCCAAAACGAGTTGCACCTACTTCTGCAATTATTATGGAAGTAATAGGTAACTCAGTATAAAAAGCTACGGATGGAAAGTTTCAATTGTGAATGCAATAAGAAATAGTTGCAATTCTTGTGGGACAAAGGGAGTATTTCTCCCTCTAAAAGGGGATTAGTTTCTAAGGAACTCTGTAACATTTCAATCTTGCAAGTTGACTGATACTGAGTGGCAATACATCCATGATGTTCTTAGCAGGTCAATCATATGCCTGTAAATATCTTACCTGTTGGTTATATTGGCCAAAGTCATGGTCAAAGCTCATACTCATCTGATGATCTGCCTAAGGCTGTAGTGATGACCCTAAACCAGGGCTCCCTAGTCAAAAGTATGGATTTCCATCCAGTACAGCAAATTCTGCTTCTTGGTTAGTTCCTACTTCCATGTACTCTATAAATTAAAATTCTGCTCTTTTTTGGTTTATGCCTTCAGGAATTTTTAATGCTTTAAATAGCTCAGGTATTTATTTTACCTTCTTATTTATTTTTTCTCCGTCTTGACTAATATTAGTTGGATCGAACAACGGAGAAATCATGATATGGGAGCTAGGTAGTAAGGAGAAGCTTGCTCACAAGAATTTCAAAGTTTGGGATCTTAGTGTTTGTTCAATGCCTTTGCAGGTTTGCATATGACACTAGTTTTTTTTAATTTTCTTTCTTTTTCCTCAAGAAATGTTTCCTTCCCTGTAACTTTACATGGTATTGTTAAACATGCATCATGTCTTGTCTTGACTTTTGACTGTAACTTTGTGTTTTGTCATAGGCATCTTTGACCAACGATAATACTGCATCAATTAATCGTGTAACATGGAGCCCTGATGGAACACTGTTTGGTAATATTAATAATTTGTCTTTCTCTCAGTTACATGCATTAGCAAGTATTGGTTTAATGTAACCAATAAGTTAAGTTATGTGAGACTTGCATCCTTATCATGGAACCCTTCATACAGGTGTTGCATACTCAAAGCACATTGTGCAGATATACTCTTACCATGGTGGTGATGATTTGCGAAACCACTTGGAGGTGTGTGTGTGCTTTTACCATCTTGTATATTCATTATTCTTTTATCTCTTTAGCTTATGTGGTGACAGTACATATTGTTCTATTAGACGCCTATGATTCATATGAGCAGCATTTTACTTGTTTTGATGGTATAGATCGAGGCTCATGGTGGCAGTGTTAATGATCTCGCTTTCTCTTACCCAAACAAACAACTTTGCATTGTGACATGTGGAGAGGATAGATTAATAAAGGTCTGTTTTCTACCAGTGTTGCTTTTCTTTAGAATGATCCTCTTTTGAACCTTCTCGCATATAACATGAAGCTTTCTACAGGTGTGGGATGCAGTAACAGGAGCAAAACAGTATACGTTTGAGGGTCATGAAGCACCTGTATATTCTGTATGTCCGCATTTCAAGGAGAATATTCAGGTATAATAAAACTCTAGAACTGATGATCTAATAAATTAGCTCTGCTCTGATTTCTTATGCATAATCTAGGACACTTGACTAAGCACTTAGAACACAAAGATTGTTCTGCTTTGGTCTACACATCACTAGTTTTGTCTTCTATACATATATATGTTACGTAGAGTATGTTAGAAAAAGTTGAAGCGAATCAACATTAAATTCATGATCAATGATTAGTATAGGAATTCTTAATCCAGTTCATATATTGACTGTTATGCTGTAAACAGTGTTTAATCTTTCTTTTTTATGGATCAAATAGCACCCACTAATTCGTTTAACTTAATTTTTTCTTGTACCAGTTTATCTTCTCAACAGCTACTGATGGGAAAATAAAGGCATGGTTGTATGACAATATGGGTTCAAGAGTGGACTATGATGCACCAGGTCATTCATCCACCACTATGGCATATAGTGCCGATGGAACAAGGTTTAAAAACTGATGTCTTTGCTCTTCTTATTAAGCTCCGTGATTTAAACCTGGAGGCATAATCTGGCTACTGTGATGTTAACTGGAATAATTTTTTGTTGATATTTGCACAACTAATAGGTTATTCTCATGTGGGACAAATAAAGAAGGAGATTCATACATTGTTGAATGGAATGAAAGTGAAGGAGCTGTAAAGCGTACGTATAATGGGCTCGGAAAGCGATCTGCTGAGGTTGTGCAGTTTGATACTACCAAGAATCGTTTTCTTGCTGCTGGTGATGAATTTATGGTTAAATTTTGGGATATGGACAATGTTAACTTATTGACGACAATCGATGCCGAGGGTGGTTTACTGGTATCCATCAGATGCTTTCATTTAGATACGAGTTCTACATGTATGATTATAACTTTGTGCAACTGATTTTTGGTTCTTGATATATCTGCAGGCTTCTCCTTGTATAAGATTTAACAAGGAAGGAATTCTGTTGGCTGTTTCAACAAATGACAATGGCATCAAAATTCTTGCTAATCCAGATGGGATTAGGTTACTAAGAACTATGGAGAATCGACCTTTTGACGCTTCCAGAGTTGCATCAGCATCTGTCGTGAAGGTAAATGGGTTCTTATGTTTGATATCTTTTTGTAGTTCACATCACTTCTTCTCCTCCTTTGCTTGGGTGTATGCTGTCTTACTGAAAGTCTACATATGTACAGACCCCCATGATGAGCATGTTTGGTGCCGTTAACACATCTGTGGGACCAAGTATTATGGATAGAGTTACACCAATGCCCTCTATGGTAGCGATGGTGAGTATTTCTCTCTTGGGATCTGTGATAATTACCATGGATATGATTGCTATTAAACTTTGCCATGGTTCTGACCATCAGCTCATCTTAAGACTTAGGGTCTGTTTGTTAGCAGCTTAATGAGCTTAATGGGACTCGTAGCTTATTCAGGCAGCAATATATGGCTGTTTGGCAGTGGCTTAATATATAGAAAGTGGCTTATTCAGTAAGGTTCTAAGGAGGAGCTTTATGCAGAGCCAAGTTTTTCCAAACTTTCCCCTCCCAATTAAAAAACATGCTCCTTCCATCTATGAATAAACTCTACCAAACTAAAACCTTCCCAATCTATTCAGGCAGATTAATCCACACAAACAGATTTATCTAGACATGACTTAATGGAAAACCATCCAAGCAGCCCCTAATGGCGTATAGATCTGTCCAAAATTTGTGCTCATGATGCTAATCATTTCCCATGGCTGTGTTTGTAGAATGGTGACAATCGGAGTCAGATAGATGTAAAACCCAGAATCGTAGATGAGTCAATGGAAAAATCTAGAATATGGAAATTGACGGAAATCAGTGAACCAGCACAGTGCCGCTTTTTAAGGCTTCCTGATAATACATCTTCAGCAATGCGGGTAATTATACACTTCACCTTAATTGGTAGCACTGCTATAGTCTATATGTCTGTTGGCAAGCATATCTCACACGTTTGCATTTTAGTCTGACTTTTTCCCTCTTTTTGTCCACCCTATTCATGTTATAGGTTTCAAGATTAATTTACACAAATTCAGGACTTGCCATATTGGCTCTAGCAGCTAATGCTGTCCATAAATTATGGAAATGGCAGAGAAATGATCGTAATTCAACCGGGAAGGTATTTATGCTCACATTCTGAATCCCACTATTGGATGTTAATCCGAGTTTGTTTCTGACTCTTTCATTGCCTCTTTTAGGCTACTGCTAATGTTATACCTCAACTATGGCAACCAACAAGTGGTATACTGATGACCAACGATATCAGTGATACAAATCCTGAAGATGCTGTTCCATGTTTTGCATTGTCGAAGAATGATTCGTATGTTATGTCTGCTTCAGGCGGGAAGATCTCTTTGTTCAATATGATGACGTTTAAGGTAACACTTTCCGTGTATTTCATATCCACGTTTATTTACAATGGGTTCAGTGTGTTCGTACTGTAGTTTCTCATTATGCTATTTGGATATTTTGACTTCTTCCCGGCCAACATCTAAAATAATACTCCGGGTCTGAAATGAAAATTTACTCTCTTTGCTTTTGGTGGATTTGGATCTATGTCTGGACATAGTAAGCTGTTAATGAAAGATGTTGATTGTCACTAATTGCTACCAACACCTGAACATATCCCTGATTTATGTTTAATTCTAGCTATGGGCTGCATCTTTACAAAATTCATACCCATCTACTGAATGGTTTGAATTTATATGTAAAAGATTTATAGATGGGGTTAACCATTTCGATAATATATCCAAATTAACCCCTGATTTACCCAATAGTAGATGCTTGTTTGCTTAGCTCTTCACTTTTGAGGCTGCTTTTGTGTGTATTCCTCCTCGCCAGATGCATTCTACTTATTAATTTTCTTCGTATGCACAGACTATGACGACATTCATGGCTCCACCTCCTGCAGCAACCTTTCTGGCATTCCATCCACAAGACAACAACATTATTGCCATAGGCATGGAGGATTCCTCTATCCAAATATACAATGTCCGAGTTGATGAGGTTGTTCCTTGGCTCTAATTCAAGAATAAATCTCAAGCTAAATCTGTTACTACATGAAGTAGTGATCATTGTTTATCTGAGCAGGTCAAAACAAAGCTTAAAGGCCATCATAAACGGATAACAGGCCTGGCTTTCTCCAATGTGCTTAATGTGCTAGTATCATCTGGTGCTGATTCTCAGGTACGAGAAACTAGACTATGTTTTGTGCTTGGTTTGTTATTTTTATTTTATTTTTTAAATGGTTAAAAGTTCTTGAAATAATCAACCGTTCAAACAGTTGACATATCCTGAGGGAATATTTTTGGGAAAATTGACTGAAATAGTTAGTCCCATCAACCAAATTCACATTTTGGCCACTTTTCAGAGCCTCTTCCTAAAATAGCCAGTCTTTATGCAAACATTTTACGCATTTGCGTAAAGACTGATTTCTGGAAAAAAGGAAAAAGAAAAAAAATCCTTGTGCATATGCGTAAGGATTCTTTACGCAAAAATTTGAATCCTTATGCAAAAATCTGAATCTTCACATAAAAAATCTTATTTCTTTTTTTTTTTAAATCTGAAATTGAGTTTACAAAAATGCGCAAGACATTTGCGTGAACTCTGGCTCAAATGGGAATTCAATTGAAAAAGTGGCTAAAAAGTGAAGTTGGTTGGGGAGATTGGCTATTTTGGTCAATTTCTTAGTACTTATTCGCCCCTGTAAAATATGGGATAAAAATATTGTGTGACGTTTGAGATCTATTGATGAAAGATGTATAAGGTAGAAGAATGCAGTTGGTTATACTAATACCTTTGTCTATCTGCAGTTGTGTGTTTGGAACACAAATGGATGGGAAAAGCAAACAAATAAACACTTGCAAATTCCGGCAGGACGTGTCGCCGCTCCCCTTGCTGATACCCGTGTGCAATTTCACCAAGATCAGACACATTTGCTAGCCGTTCATGAAACTCAGATAGCCATTTATGAAGCACCTAAACTGGAATCTCCAAAACAGGTCTGTTCTTGGGTAACTATTCATATCTTTGGCACTGTTGAGTGCTATCGTTTTCATATAAAAGTTATGATGTCTTAACTAAAAAATTTGGAAAAAAATGCCATCCTGTGAGTTTGCTCCAAGACCATCAAACCTGATTCTTTTTTCTGATAACATGGTTGTCCGGGCTGACTTGCATGCTCTTAGGCATAGTTTCTTCTTGGTAACAGAAGTTATTTCGTTCACGGGTCAAAATAACTTTCCAATTCTACCCTTAATTATGAGACGGAGCATTTCATTACTCCCTCTGTTATTTATGGTAAAACTATCATTTAGTTGACTAAAAGATGGAAGAATTACAGTGTGCCTTTTTCATCGTGGGCATTTATTTTGAGATGGAGGAAGTTCTTACTTCTTTCATCAACTGAGCATTTTAGAACAAGGTTATTTCTGTAATAATAAATTTAGTGATGATTTCTGATGGAACTTTGTGATGCATGTTACAGTGGTTCCCGCCAGAGACAAGTGGCTTGATAACCCATGCTACGTATTCGTGTGATAGCCAATCCATATTCGTCGGTTTTGAGGATGGAAGTGTTGGTATTCTAACTGCAACAACACTAAGGTTGCGATGCCGGATCAGTTCAACTGCGTATTTGCCAAGCAATCCAAAGTGAGTCTTTTCTTGGAAAAAAGATCTCTGGTAGATAGAATTAAAGTCTAGTATACCCGTTTTATGTCTACCCATTTCTCACAGGTTAAGCGTACTTAATCTACAAGTTAAAACCTATGCTCTGATAGTGAAATAAGTTTTTGCGATTGTGCTTCAAAATGATTATTTGACCACAATACTTCGTCCACTGTTTCCCAGCGGTGAAAAAAGGAACTGGTTTGATCAGTTTGCCCTTGTTAAAACCATTTTATATTAGTGCCAAGGGTAAATGTTTGTTTTTGCCCAAAAATTGGAAAACATATTTTGCTTGGGCTATGTTGGTTCTTTTCTCCTTCCAAAATTTCACATTTTTCCAATTATGCTAATTATATTTTATGTTCATGTCATTTTAGAGTGTCATCTAGCTTATCAACTACTCCCTATGTCTCAAAATAAGTGTCAATATTTCTATTTTAGTTTTCTCAAAATAAGTGTCTACTTTCTAATTCTACCCTTGAGTTTGAGAGGGAGAAATTCATTATTCCCTCTCTTAAGGATAAAATTGCTATTTAGTTCACTAAAACGTGATTTCTAAAACTGTCTTCTCTGTGGACTTTTACGTTAGAACAAAGCGAGTAGTTTTGTTTATTTATTTTAGAATGGAGGGAGTAGTTTTTTTTTGTTTTTTTTTTCCTATTATCAAATGTGAATAATTTATCAGTTAACAACTAGCTTTTATTTACTTTAGAACAGAGGGAGTAGTTTTTCTTGTTTTACTTTTTCTATTAATAAATTTGATTAGTTTATCAGCTAAAAGCTAGTTTTTAAGATAGTTTACCAGACATAGCCTTGATATTATTAGTGCCAATTAGTTGTGTTGTAACTTGTAATGATAACATGTGATTTTTACAGTTTACGGGTGCATCCACTTGTGATCGCTGCACATCCATCTGAAGCAGATCAATTTGCACTGGGACTTAGCGACGGTGGTGTGTGTGTAGTTGAGCCGCTGGAATCAGAAGGGAAATGGGGGACGTCGCCACCGTTAGAAAATGGTGCAGGGCCAAGCAATACAAGTGGTGTAGCAGCAAGCACAACTGATCAAGGTCAGAGGTAAGTAAGTAAGTTTATATAAGAAAGATATAGGTATAGCAGAGTGTAGAAGATGATTATAGTTTAGAAATTGAAATGGATATTTATGATATGAGACCAACGAAACAAACAATGTTGCTGTTAGCTTTTAGATTCAGGAGTAGAAAGAGTTGGTTTGTAAATTTTTATGGATCGGCAAAAGGCTTTTTTTTAAATCATATTGGAAACGATTGAAGGCTACGTTCGTGGCCTCAAGTTTCTCATTTCATTTCATTTCTTTTTTTGGCCATGCATATCATGTTGTGTAATCACATGTGATTTGGCTGTTCACGTGTTTACTTATTTTTGACCTTGTCCTTGTTTGATCTTCTCTTTGTATTTGATCAGACGTGCTACTTCACATTTATTTTTAACTAGTGGTGTACACGTGCAGTACGGCAGAAGCCGTGAATTTTAATGATTTTCAAGTTTCACTGGTTTTGTTAGAGAAGATTTAATGATGATATAAGTTACACTTGGTATTTACATATTAATACAAATTAAATAAATAAGAGTTATGGTTCCAATTACAGTCTATCAATGAAAAAAATTGAATGACAGTTTAAAATCCAATATATTTAAAATCCAACATTTACACCAAGAGCAAAGAATCAAGAGATCGAGAGCGAGACCGAGAGTTCTAGAGCAATTGAATGGGAGATGAATGAGAAAACTTTTAATAAATCATGGTGAATATCAAATTGAATCTCACATTGGGGGATGAGGAGAAGACCTAAATGTATGAGAGGGTGAAAGCACGAGTGAAATGTGCCAAAAGTATCTTGGAAACAAGAAAAAAAGAAGATAATAGTGTACATTGGTAACTTAGTATATGGTATTTTTAATTGTAGAATAAGAGATTTTAAAGCAAAATGCATAAAGTAGTAATACTTAATGCATTACGAGTTGTTTTTTAAGACTTTGTGCATAAATGTATAAGTACTTTATACATTAAAAATTGTTTTTAAGACTTTTGATAAATTTGGTTTATAAGGTAGTATAGATTACAAAAACTATTACAACTGATTTTTGAAATCCTACAATCAATGTTTTCTACAACGAATTTCAAACAAATAAATGTGTATTATAAAGATTGTTATATTTATCAAGACAAGAAATAAGATGAAACCACAAAGTTGACAAAAATGGATTTTTCTTTTTCTGATATGTTTTCATTCAGACTCTACAACAATAACAACGGTGATTTGTGAGGTGAATCATACAGACAGTAATCACAAATACAACACTTTGAAGACAGACACTTCAGTCCAAAAACGGTTGAGAGTCCATGCAGAGGTGGACTAGTTTTTGTTGGAACTGTCCATACAACTCCCCAACCGCGATCACGTCTTCGTTTTCTGGGTTCAAAACAACCAGCTTTTCCTTCAGTGAAGAATAAGAATCCGAAACCGAATCCTCTAAGCTGCTTTTAATAAATTCAGCATGGATTTCCCGGCAGGCGATGATGAACATAGCAGCTGTATCGGGTTGCTGAGCCTCACGCAGTGCTGCCAGCGCATCTTGTAATGAACCCGCTGCTATGTACAAAACCAGTGCTCTGCATAAACAACACACAAATTCAAAACTTAAGAGAGAACAAAGAAAAGGAACCCTTTTGCTGGTCAAGAGGATCAAAGTGAACCGTGCGATGCACATAATTGCTCATAAAGCAACAAGACCGGCCACACGATGAAAATTGGTGGAATGAAATGATATAATGATACCTCCAGATGTTATGTTCAGCATGAAGAACATGTTCAGCCCATCTGTGTAATACCCTGCAAAACCCCAAAATGTAAGAGAATCAGCAGTATCTATTGGCTCTAAACTCTCTTCCTTGTGAAAATAAAAATCCTTCAAGAAAGTTGAAGATCTTAAATGGTCAAAAAGCAAGATGCAAACCGTGCATAATCGGTTCCTTTCAAATGCGTTGCTGCCAACGTTGCAGCATCTGTCCAGCACCCCGCATCTTGTAACTGATAAAACATAAATGCAGCTTAAATTAATTGATTAATTAATCATACATATGTATGTATCTATGGAGAAATGAACCTTACAAGCAAAAGCTATGCATCCAACAAAACTACTCTTATCACCTATATGTATGAATCTTTGATGCCAAATTTTACAGAATTTATTTAAAATTTTCTTTAAACGGCAACTCAACTCACACCTCCATGTATCCAGAGAGACTTGAACTCACAACCCTAAAGGGTTGGAGAGCTCACATGGTACCATTAAGCCATAGGCCTCTTGGTAACTGCCCAATTAAGATCTATCTACCAGGGTATATCACTATACTCTATGAAACCTGCAATTGCTTGTAGAGTTAAAAAAATTCATGTGAATTCGCAGAAAAACCAAATTATGTTACTCCCTCTTTCCCAAAAATCAAAATAAATGTCCAAAATAAAAACACTTTTTTAGAAATGTGTAATTATTACACTTCTTAATTAACAAAAAATGACAAATTTACCCTTAATAAGAGAGGGAGTAATGAATTTCTCCATCTCATAATTAAGGGTAGAATTGGAAAGTAGACACTTATTTTGGGACATAGGAAAGTATTAGACTAGTTGAATTTCTCGAGCAATAGAACACCTGTGAACAAGCTTCTTGATACCTCCCTACAGCACAGAGCAGATGAGTGCCAGACAATGACCTGTCAGTCCTCACCATATTTGCAGCAACCACCTACAAGAAAATTACAACTAATTGAATGCGGGAAAAAATGATATTTAAAAGTGGAAAGGCAATATAAAATGCATCCCTCTTACCTTTACTGCTAGTTCATTTAGGGATCTTGAAACTGCAGATGAAAGAGCAACGGCACGCAAAGCATTTGGATAGAAGTAAGGGCTCTCAGGAGGAGTAGAAAGCATTAAACTGACAGCAGCTTCCAAGTTACCAATTGACACAAGCCTGATTATTATGGACATCATATATATAATACACAAATCAGCTTATAATCATGATGACATCTAATACGACTGACTACTATGAATGAGCTTTACTTGCAACCTGAGCTGACCATGTTTAAGCTCAGCTAGGTAACTGAGTTGAGATTAAAGTCTTGTTAAATATGAACTCGATTATACTGAAATGAGCATTATCCCTTACACAACCAAGCTTGAGCCAGCTCAATTTGAGCAGCAGGTTTATATTTGCGGACTTAGCTGAACAACATTAAGCCTTACATGCTGGCTAGATTAAAGCATTCCAGACTGTTATGTTAGGGTGCGTTCCGTATCCAGACATGATAGAATAGTGCAGGACAAAACAACTGTTTAGCGTTTGATAAGCCAGAACTGGACAGGACGGAACAGATAAAATGACCAATTTACTCCTAATGAGTTGCTTATATAATTTATATGTTTTGATTGATTATATAATTTATTAAATTATAATAAAAAATATTTTTTATAACGAAGTATATCGTTTAGGAAGTTTTCGTCAAGACGATCCATATGACACCAAAATACAAAGTTTATGTAGTTTCCAAATTTTATTTTTGTACCTTCTCTAAATTACATAAATTAATCAAAATATAGAAACCGTATAAAAATAAATATTTTGAGGACAGTAAAGTAAAAGTTTAAAGAACATAAAATAAATAAATAAAATTTAAAAAATGAATTAAAATGTAAAGAGAAAGCCGTATTTGATGTTTTTGAAGAGAATTAAATTTTATTTTGAGGTTGTATTGGTAGAACATAAGTATGTTCCACCTTGTTCCATGGGGTGGGGGTGGAACACGCCTGTATCACTCTGTTCCTGTCTATTCCACGTAAAAGTCCTGCCAAACGTGGAATAGTGATCCATGTTCTGTTCTGTCTTGTGTACCAAGAGCACCCTTAAGGATTCGGATGTTCAATTTATATAATCACATGTGCAGCAGGAAAGCCTAGATGTTCATTTGACATGCATAAAGGACCCATTGGGTATAATTGTTCCATGTTGTTCATTGATCACTCATGTTCCTAAGATATAAACAATCGGATAAACTGACTATATTTAAAAAAACAGCACAAATTAAGCAGTATATAAAGCAGGTACTGGGGCCTGAAAACATGATGAATAGTATATTTATGGAATTACACTCACTCATGCACACGGTTCTGAATAGCCTCTTCGTCCTCTAATCTTTCATGCCAGGGAATACGCTCACTAGCATTTTCCCACAATTCTTCTTGCTCAAAAGCCATCAACCTAAGTTCACCATCACTCTGTTGAAAGAGTTGCCACCATTAACTTTGTATATTCTCTTCTCACCAAAATATTTCATATTTTTTGTATCTCCGTTTTCAAAGAAGTGCCTAATAAAATGCAATCTGATAGTTTGCGCTTCTGCCACTAAAATTCTACATCCAAAGTAAAAGAACCTAAAAGCTTACCACTGCATTCCTTTTCCGTGGCCCACTTTCTGATTTGCCTTTCGAAGATATCCTACTCAGTAAAGACACATCATCGATTTCTGAAGATGATGATTTTACTGGGGCCTTTTGCAGAGACTTGTTAGCCAAATTGTTCATTAGGTGCTTAAGTGCATGAGGCAACTGCAACCAAAAGTAAGCCTCCGAAGTTTCACCAAATATCGCAGCTGCAAAAGAGAATCTTGCAGCTGAACCTTTATTGAGTATCGTAGCATATTGTCGCACCCTCTCATCATCAAGTATGCAGCCTGATGTAACAAAATAATAATACAAAAGAAATTAAGGAAAATTTTCTCTTCAATATAAACCAGAATAAACTTCATCCTATATACCAAAATCTCACCTTCTCTCTGATAAGGCTCTAATACCTTAAGAAGCAATTCTGGGACAACAGAATCACCAATAATTGGTATATCAATTAGATAACTACGAAGATCTCCTACCGATGATGTAGTTCGTGATAACTGACTATGCTCCTTATTGATAATCGTACTCAATGTGTTAAACCATGAAGGCTTTACACCACATTGCAAGATCAGCCGCAGTGCCTGTCAACCAAAAATAAGAGGCTCGGTTCATTTCAAAGGATATTCCACTGTAATATTTAAACTTTGAACTGCTACAGAAACGAGCAAGTGTTTTGAGTTTTGTGAGAATATGTGGAACCCCCAGATCACTCTCCAAAAGAGCCCTTGAGGAGGAAGGGGAGGTTCCAACATATATACAGGAGAAATGATCCTAGTCTAGCTGATGTGGGACTCTAACACGTCCCCCCCAACAGAGGGTGGATGGACACAAACTGTCCCAGAGAGTTGAGTGGGGGCTAACCAGAGTGTCGGGTCCCTAGAGTGGCAGGCCATGGCTTTGATACCATGTTATTACTCAAATCTGGTAATGTTTGTCTTATTTCTTTCTAAAAGAGATTATAAAATACATAACATCAAGAAGCCTAAATGAGGAAATACTAACACTACTACAAGGAAAGGCAAACCATTATATTTAACAAGTTTAAGGATGCATCTGTCACTCGGAATATAGTGGTTTCCACATCTCAGCAGTACTGTACATCTAACACATTAGAATCATAAGTTAAGATAACAAGACAAATATACCTTAAATGATTAATGAAGTCAGGTAGACTCAAAGGATGTCAAAAAGGAAGTTTCAAACTGTTGTCGTAGGCACTTCACTTCAAAATAATCACAACGCAAAAACGAGGCCATATTTTTGTCAAGTACAGTGTTTCTTTTAATTTTTCCCCTTATTGGAAGCATGTTGGATGTTTACAAATGAAGACAGATGCAGTGGTTCAGAATGCCCAATCATTCATAAGGAAAATAAGCCATTAGCAAGAATCCTTCTATCCCATGTTAGTTTGGATAGGCAAAAACTCAAAGTAAGAGAAACTACCTAAGATGCAGCCCAAACGTGAACACAAAGAAGCAAACCTCCCATAATTCTGCAACTGAATGGTGTCCTTATTGTACTCCTATGTTCTAAAACCATTCGCGTTGTATACTCCATTTTGCTGCTTCCATAATGTCAAAGTTGACCAGCTTCTCCTAACGACATCTTATTGTTACATGTCTCCTTGTATAGCTGACCCATACAAAGATCTATGCTGGCAATGACAAAACCACCTAAAAAGATGTTGCCACAGATTCTCCTCTTACAGTGTGACCCCAACCTTCTCTCATATGTTATCATTTTAGTACAATAGTACTATCCCTCGTTATCAAGAAGCATGCATCTCGCACTCACATTTATACTACTAGAACATATTGATTTTTGTGTACCAACATTCTGCCTCTCACAAGTCCTGCCGTTCTAGAATGTATTAAAATAATTTATAGTTGATCCCAAAAATTATGTTAGGAGTCTTTTGTTTGTACTTCATTGTAATTGCAATGATATCAATGCAAGTGATTGGTAATGTTCTGCGCATTTTAAGCCATATGATGGTATGCAATTATTCTCATCATTATATCTATAACAAGAAAAAGTATCAAATCAGAAGTACTTCATTGAAACGCATACGGAGTATTAAACAAGAAAAATAAAATTAGCATTATGATTGGGGATCGACTCACATTCACCTAATTAGATGAAAGGAACGGTAGGTAGATTTTGTCGGAAATGAAAAAAATAAATGTCATCAAAACTTTAAAAGTGGGATTAATAATAAGAAGTAGTTGGTTTCTTGGAGACCTTTGTAACCATGATATCTAAGATGATAGAATCATTTTGTTGTATTAGTTTCAACTACAGTTCATGATTCTTTGATTATTTGGCTACTGAAAATTTACTCCTCATTTGTGAACTTCTGCAACATATCTTGAATCTTACAATTCTACCATTAGTCACTTCTGTTATGTCTACTTTCTTGTACTTTCTTCTATCTTTCATGATACTTACTTGTTTTAAGCTTTTTTCTCTTTTTCCATGCTGTACATACTTGTTCTACTTCTACTAAACTTTTGGTACATAACCAAGAATATCTCAGACACTTAATTTTTCAAAATCCTTTTTTGCATTTTTTTTTCAAAAGCCTGGGTCTTTCACAGAAACACCCTCTCTATCCCTTGGGATAGAGGTAAGGTTTACATACATCCTATCCCCCCAGGGCCTACTTTCGAGAAGAATATACTAGGTACGCTTGGTTTAATTTTATATAACAGATGAAACCATAGACGGTTTCACAACTCCAGATATGCTTTAATTAAAAGCAGAGGGAAATGTTAGAAATGTAGTGTTTTATATTTTTCTGTTGTTTGTTCTGTCTCGGCCCACAGGGGAATTTACATTATACTTTAATACACAAGTATGTTGACCCCCACATAACAGAGAATCATGTTCTACCCAGAAACAGATGCTGTCACCACCATCGGCAGCCCTGCTGCCTCTTGTCACCATCATTGATGGTGGCTGCTAGCAGCAACAGCAGCCCAGTTGCTGCTTTCTGTTTGCTGTTGCCAGCCTCATGACTCTCCCTGATGTGACATTTGTTATGCCAGGGGCAAGCAAGTCTAATTTCTGATCAAAAGGATCTGACATGAGCTTTACCACCCTTCCATATGGTGGCAGAGCTCAAAGGGTTGCCATTTCAAAATTAAGAACACGGTTCCAAGCATTTCATGATTGACAATAAAAAACTTCTGGCTTAAGGGTAGATCAGAGAGGTTGGCCATCTCTATTAGCTGTTTTAGTGTCAAAAAAAAAAAAAGAAGACAATGTTAAAGCACAAGACAGTGCACCAAAACTCCTCTGCTTTGCCCAGGGTTGAGGAGGAAAGTCTTTGCTTACAGACTTTTCCTTGGCCCTTTAGCCAGTAGGAGGTTTCTGTGATTCAAATCCATGACCTTTCAGTCAAAGAGGATCACATTATCAGATGCTCCAAGGCTTGCTCTAAAGAAAAAATAAGTAAAGTTTGCTTTAGAGAAGATTTGAAGTCAAAATTACCAAAGCATGTGCTGTGGGAAGTAATATAGGAGAGCATAAAGGCATTGGTCGAAATCGCTCCTTCATAAATCCAGACTGGGATCCATAACCAACTCTTTTGTCACTGCATGGAAAGATGGTAGATTCTAATGAGCATAAATAATGGCAGGTTGTGAAACTCGACAATCACCCATTAGATGCTTGCTATCAATGCAAGTATTTTAATTTCATGGTAAGAGAACTTGCAAGCCTAAGCACAGTGACAGGAAATTGAATGAAGTTGTTCAGCAAGCTCAATAAGTTATCACACATACACGTTAACTTCAACAAGTCGAAAGCTACTATCCGCTCCAGTAATACACAATACCAATGGATCATTTATATCAGTTCGCACAGGCAACCAATCGAGTTCCAGCACAAGAGTACCAGGAAATTGTGGCTGTAGTAGGGAGTTCGCTAATGGATCTGGTGAATCCTGCAAAAGAGAAGACTTCAAAATTCAATCTTTTTTCTAGGTTTATGTTTTTACCTTTTTCTTCTTCTTTTTCCCCTTTTGGTGGGCTGGAAGAAGATGCCAAAACCCAGAACAGCATGTTCAAAAGGTTCAAGCAGTTGAGTAAAATGTATGCCAATCCCAAGGGGTTGGCCTAGTGGAAATTCACTGGAACTTGGTGCCTCATGAAGCTTCAGGTCTCAGGTTTGAATCCGGTTAGGTTCTATCAACACCTTAGGGGACACGCCTACTAGCCAGAATACCTAATATTTGTTTGAGCCATGTGAATTGAACACCTTTCACAAAGGCCATGGTCAAGTTGGGTCAGAGGTGCCAGATACCACAGTTATAAAAAAATATACGATGCAGAGATGAAATATGGAACTTGTATATCCTAGCTTGTGAAGAATTTCAAAGTTGGTCCAGATTTGTCATAAAATGAACAATATGTTGGCAACAAATACTACAGGTTCATGGAAAAGGTTGCCTTCAATTTCGATCCTGAACTGAAGCTTATTTAGCTTTGTAGACCGTCTAATCTATACACATTCGATGTTGCACCTCCCTGTTTACTAGCTTGCTTCAGGGAAATATATGATCATTTTCTGATCAATACCAAGAAAGAAAAGAGTCAAGTCATGCTACTTCTCTCACTTACAAGATCAAATACAGAAAATGTATTGTCATTAAACAATACAGCAATACGTCCACGGCTACGATCTCCAGGAACAACAGGTGAGAATTTGATTCTCCGAATGCCTTCCCGGTGAGTGTTGAAAGAGGAAGATTGTCCAGTTGTAACATCCCACCACCGTATATTCCCAGACCTGTCCCCCATGACCTGACATATAAATCAGTCACTGTAAAGTTCATGAGAAAAAAAGCCCAACCACACCTTCCATAAAGAAGGGGAAAGATAATAAGATACTAACCACATGAGGCAAACGATAGGCCATAGCTCTAACTGGTCCATCAGAAGAAACAAGTGAAGAAGTAGGCCACTTTGGTCTGCACAGTAATAAATACATCTCATGAACCTATACCACCTCAGTTTCATAACAGATAATAATAGCATGCCGATTATGTTAACATAGATAATTTTCCAAGCACATCAACTAAAAAAATTGAGAACATCCCCTATTTTCTGGAACAAACTAAACTACACGTAAATGAAAAAAAGAAACTAAAAGAAATAACCCATCAAACATCAATTTGGTTTCAGATGAAAAAGAAATATGCTGTCTAATCCATGATTCCAATGAATCAAGTAGCATGACTAAAATCAAGTAAAGTCATATCACAAAAAACTAGTATATGATGGAGTTGATGAAGCTTAAAGTAAACTTTACCATGTTTTAAAACGCCAACGGTAATAGTCAATCTGACTTGGCTGGAGAACAGTGTACTTAGGGTTAATTTATGTCTAAAACTGAAAAGTTATATCAAGTACATAAGGTTGAGAATCCAGTATGTCCATTGGTTTATGAAACAAAAATAGTGTGTAGTTAGAGGTACAAGATGCAAACAGACAGAAAGATCTATGGAGTATGGAGAGTCCTCAAAACACTCACGTACTTTATAATTGATCCGTTTGAAGAGAGTGGAAATGCAATGCATGTAGCCTAAAACCCATATTATATATATTGATTATCATGTTAATCAATTTTTGTCTTAAACTCTTACTTAACCTCAGTAGTACCCTAAGACTACTGAGGTAACCAGATCTCAATTTTTCAGATAAACCAAGAAGTTGAGCTACATATAATATGAAAGGCCAATATGTTTTCAAACCCAAACCCACCTCTTTTCTCAAGCACTAAAATGTGTTCATAATTTAGGTGCAGAAGTGAAGTATCTACCAGCAAGATAATAAATGCAACAATTTTGCATGTGAAACAAAGCAGCTTTCTCTTCTCATAACACAACAGACAAGGTTCTTGGGGATAGTGGCCTTGACCTGTCATAAGCTCATACAGTCATACCCAACGTTGACCTCACTAGGGTATCTTAAATAACTTGAAAAGTTTGGACAGTAAGAGTCATCAGGATCAAATTTATTGTTAAACACCAGGAAATCACAAAAGAAATTCAAGATGGCACAAGATAAAAAATGTGCTGTTTCGTAAATTGTATAAAGAATGATACTTGAAGTCTCGGATCCTCCGCCCCTGAACTTCAAACACCCCAAGCGCGCCATTTACCAGTGCAAATGCAAAACTCTCTGAAAACTCTTCTTGAGCTCCATCTGAACTCACTGCTTCTGCATTAGAAGTTACTTTTGAGCATTGAAACTTTATTACATCCAGAGAATCTAGGGATGAAATCATCAAGAATAATAGCAGCAGCATTAGCAACAACTATAAAATCTCACTAGTTAAAAGCTAAAATGGCTTATAGTTTGGTAGCCCACATGAAAATTATCATTTTGATTAGACTATAATACTAAATTGAAGGTTTAAGAAATTTTAGGGCCTAAAAGTGAGACATGACTCAATCACTGAGTCTCAGGTTAAATAAAATTCATTAAGATGATTAAGTACTAATTACTGAATATGCATTGCTTAAATAACTATTTATATGGCCAAAATAAAATTTTCTGAACATGAAGGGAGTCTTAGTTTTGATCAACTGGTAAGCTTGGTATACAATCGTGGCCGCCGAACACAAAGGCAAGGGTAGGAACAGCATACATGTGGGTATTTCCCACTTCAATTCTTGGCCACATCTTCACACTCACACTCACATTCACATATATAACACTGCCCTAGCACTATATCTTGAGGCCCTAAGTTTGACATTGTATAGTTACAAGTGAATTCAACCATAATTGAGAACTTGAGATTGAGCCATGATCCATAAACCATGTGGGAAGTGTACAATGTTAAATGGGCATGATACTGCTGCCCTAAGAAGTGAAAATGCCATTTACCTCTAAAACTGAAAATTTTACTTCTAAGGGTATACCATTTTATTCATTTAAAATCAATCAAAAGGAGTTGGGCTTCAAAATTTTCACCATAACCTACCAACCACAAAACTGGGAAACAGCAGTGTCATACCCCTTGTCTTAACCTCTGTATCAAATGTTTCAAGTGCATTTTAGGGTGTGGCGGGGTGCACAGGGTGAGCCTTTGATCATATCCCTGAATCGTCAACCATGAATATCGCGGATGCAGGTCGGGGACACAGAAATTCTAGTTTTCGTCTTTAAAAAACGAAAAGATGTAAATTCAGAACCAATATATCTAGAAAACGTAAAACAGAACTTGTGTTGTGGCCATGACTGAAATAAAGAAAGAGGTGATGTATGTGACTGTTATGTGTACATTAAAGTATAAAAAAAAACAGGGCAATGCTTGAGCAATAAAACTGTATTTGGAAGTGAATCCATCTTTCTCATGTTATATAACTGTATAAGCATACAACATATAATGTCTGAGGAGAACCAATTTGATGTGTGTTCATGCGAGGTATTATATCAAATTTGTGGCAAGTACAAGTATCCTCTTGTGACGTAAGCATTTATTTTCAAGTCTTATCATTTTTCTTGAAGCATCCATATGCTTTACTTATCAAACTTATTATGTTGCTTCCTTACTCAAATGTTGTTCGTTTGTTGATTAATTGAAGAATCGCCTTATATTCCCATTTTGTTGCTTTTGTGGACTTTGCTCAATCATCGTTCTACCAATGGTCCTAGTATTTCTGATGATTCTTCTCTACAGGAGTCATTAATGTTCTTTAAGGCTTATTCATTTTCTGGAATTCCTGGTCTAATCAAGTAACTCGTTTGATCTTGAAGTTTATCTTGTGATTATTGAGTGAGCATTTGACGTGAACCTATGCATTGTGAAGCATGGAGAAAACCTTTCGACTTTGTGGTTTCCTTTCATGAACCTTCTTTCAATTTCCTCATGAAGTATATATCATCCTTTGATGAACATTTATCTTGGATGTCCTTTCTTCGGGGGTTAATGTTTCGGTTTTATGAATATTATTTGACAGTTATGATTGAAGTTCTTGGTATTTGATAGTTAAAAGTCAGATAGTGACCATTATAATATCTAAAACATAGTCTTCTAGGAAGTTTTTATAACCACTTGACAGTAAGTTGCTTTATTTTTAAGTAATGTCACTTAACCATATTCCTTTGGTGTCTACTTGTATTTACTAGGCGTATATGGTCAGGTTATAATTCTTACTCCATCCACATTATGTCAAAGTATCTAAGTGGTGTTGGTAGCTAAAGGATCAGGATCAAAGAAAGATTAAGAAAAGGGGGAAGCATCGATGCTGAGATCATTTAATTATATCTGTAGGGAGTTAACATTATGTCATTTTTTGGTTACACAATCTGAAGGCTTAGAAATTTTTGTTGGTTAAATGCAATGGCAAAATTTGATCTAGTGATGTTCATAGCCTAATGAGCCAACATGTGTTTGGATTAGTGTTTGATTACTATTTGCAACATATACCACTTTCTTACACCTTTCTACAGATGATGCATAACCATGACAACCTTGTCGATAATCTTCTGACATGGACCCAGTTGATGGGGATAAAGAATACTGTGAGTGAGGAGTTTCATGGTAATGATAATGACAATGCTAGTAAACTCACTAGAGTCTGTCTGGGATGCCATCCCATCAGGTGGCACAGAAGCGTCGGATTGCTTAGATGCTCCACTTTGCGGCCGTGGAACGGTAGGAAGAGTCCACTCCAATACTGTAAATGGAAGAGCTAAAGACCTAAGCTGCAAAAAGGAAAACATCACGACTGATGTACAAGAGCTACTCAAGCTCCAGCAAACAATATCCTGAAGTGATTCATTGGCAGAAAGTAAGCAAATGAGTCAAAATTTCAGCACTCATAGATATCTACATGAATGGCAATAATGATATATATATATATATATATATATATATATATATATATATCATGAAATCATAATCTAGATAAAGTTTCATTTTAAGGCATTAAAAAACTACCATAGTGAATTTGATGAGTTTGTATATAGAATCCTATCTTCCAGCAGAGAACAAAGATGCCGAAAATGAAATCATGAATAGAAGTGTGACAGAAATGGTTAGCTATGGAATTTATTACCACCGAGTAAAAGAAGATTTATCAGCATAGTAACTATGAAGTCTCTTTGGAACACTAAATGACATCATGCCCGTAACATGTAACTACAAAAATAAGAATAGAATTATAACAAAAATGATTACTTTATACTTTATATTGCGAAGTTAAAGGGTAAGGAATTATTGCCACAAAGCAAATGTATAGAGTATGTGCATACACCATAAACAAAATATCAAAGACACATATGCTTATTTGTCATTACGCCAAGAAAAAACTGATTCATGGTGTAAGATAAGTAGAGATGCTTCCACTATCTTCATTTAATGGGCAAGTATTTTATAGAGCAATAAATACATAATTCATATGAAGGAAGGAAGTGGAACTCGGCTGAGTTCTAAAGGAAAGATGGAAATGTTATGGCAATTCATTGAAAATGTCATTTCGTAAAACTACAAGGAGGCAGACCAGAAAGAAGGTGAAGTATAAATACATGGAGAAGAGAGGAATTGGTCCCTTGAATATCTTTAATTTGTAGACTTGATATAACAAGATAAACCAAGAGACAACTCAATAATGCTAATTTATTGAGTGTATCATCTAAATGTGAAGAAACAAATTTTCTTGAAAACTGGACCAAAATGTAAATGGAATATCGAACATTCAAAGAATTTCTACTAGGGACCCTTTCTTAACTCTACTGGAATTTACCAACTTTTTTTGTTCTAGTCGCTAGCTAAGCACTCGCTTGATGTGGAACTGAAGAAAAATATTCAAAAATATTATTCAGCTAGCAGCTTTTTCACTGTGCAAGGGACGCTAGCAGAGAAGAACACGTAAGTCTGCAAACACAGTCCAAGCTGCTCATCTGCCACTTATGGTTCAAGTTATTATGAATTATAGAATTCCACAACGACCAACGACCCCCAATGATCCCTATGGGAATGTACTTGCTAAAAGAACTACATAGAATGATGGAAAAAGAAACAAGTCATCTGATTTACCATGATTGGAGTTTTTGTCATCGCCCAAACCTCCACAGGTGCATCACGAAACAATATCAAAAGATACCTGCAAAAAGCATCAATAATGTATCAGTACAAGTTTCCACAACAATGCAGTTATTAACTCTGAAAACCACTTTCATATATCATGTTTAGCAATGAAACTTATAGAAGGTCATCTTAGTATGGTAAATGGTAATTTAAAGGTTCTATAGGCCAAGCACAGTGCTCAAGAAAACTATATGAAATGATCTTTGATATAACAGTGTGAAGAGAGATTGATGTGAAAACGTCCAAACATACAAACTGTTCCATACCTTCAAGGCTTCAAGTCTAATTGGTTGGTTATAAACCCAAAGTCGTCAATATGAATTTTCTAGTACCTATCAAAGTTATGTTTTCTGTTTTAAAATTTTGTTTGTGTGCAATGTGTGGTATTCTTTTGTGTTATCCTCATTCTTAATGCAGGGGCACAAACTGACAAGTTGTATCTGTTGACATGGTGCAGCTTTAAGAACTGAAATATCAGTATGTGTAAGTGTACAGTTAGAAAAGGTATTTGAAAGTCACCTCGCTTGAAATAAAATAAATCAAATTCATATGACCATAACCTGGTACGATGAATAATGCATCAACACTTTAGATGTCATGACCGGATGCTCTCAGCAGGAAACATGTGCTTGGGAGCTAGCATGTGATTTACACCGACACTGTCCCCTCTAACATACTGTTCCATTGCCATACTTCTCTTCCAGATCAATATTTAATTCAACAGTAATCTGATTATTGCATTTCTAGACATGTATGATTCATGGTTACATGGTACAGGAGTCTTACCGTGCAGGCGTCAAGCCATATAAGCTGCCAACAAAAGACTGCTTGTTTTCCTACCAGAATGGTTGATAAAGTCAATGAGAAGTTGAGAACAGTCCTCAGGTGTACTTGTTCTTCAGCTAGTCTCATATCATCTAATTCAAGTTCTCTTTCAATATCCATATGTGGCTTTCACCCCCCCCCCCCCCCCCCCCCCCCCGTCCCCCCAATATCTATATAGTAGAAAGGCATAGCCTCACTGAGTCCAGGACTGCAACTCTCATTCTAGATAGTTACAGTTGTCACTTCTAGGTAGCATCAACAGATTTTAAAAAGACTGAATGATAAAAAACTAACCTTTAGATAGTGTCCATAAATCTCATAATAGGTCCCTAAAGATTCATACTGAGTTTCTATGGGAGGCCTGCTATGCCAAAAGCGAGAGAAACCTCATCTCTTTCTTTCCTCTTTATGTCCCCATACGACCTGATCAAACTAATCAAGGACGGGAAAAACATGACCTTTAGAAAAAGAGAAATCTTGGTTTATTCTAGGCTCCTAGCACGAGCATCTAATTACTGGTACGTGTACACAAGCTCATGGATCAACCTCCCTCCCCAAAAAAACCATCCTAAACATCAAGTTCAACAGATCATACAAATCCATGAACTATACTCGGTGACTGGGTCAAGAACAGAAAACCTGGAAAGCCGAACCACATTACTTATCAGAACAAATATGTATTTGTTTTGAGTGAGTGAAAAGTAGATGCAGGACTATTTATTAATAATTCAAGTATTTTCAATTGCAAATGTTCTGCAGAGAAAATCTAACGTTGACAGGGAAGAAGAAATATCATCTAGATGTTCTGGAAATACAGCTAGATTAGTGATTATCCTGTAGTAACAGAAAGTGAAGTTTGTAGTTGTCATGCTGCATACTGAAAATGCATAGAAAAAATAACAAATTAGTCCAGTTTCAAGAACAACCTTCCAGAAGATGAAGCCCGTAGAGCTCTTATGGGTGTACGCTCTGGCTTTTGTAAGACCCTAAATGTCCGATTAAGTCCTGTCCGAAGGCAGGTCACAACAAGCCTATTTGTATAGCCACCAGTCTTCTCATTTCCCTGAGCTCACAAAGTGATAGTTGTATGTCATATTTCATTGAGAACACCATTGAATGGGGTAGTGTTAGATGCATGTTAGCTTTAAGCAAGCATAAAGGCAAAAAATATAGTGTATGAAGTATGAACCAGGCTCTCAGAATACTGCAAAAATATATACAGAAAAAAGGACATCCGAGAAATTAGAAAAGTGAAGAATGAATATCAATTGATCAGCACATATTTTGTGTTCTATACCTGACTGTATGAGAATGAGACAAGCCTTGTATTTCCCAACCACCTTAATCCTCGTACAACACTATCATGAATAGCAAAACTTGCAGCAACAGCATTTGCAGAAACATCAACAATATCAACTGAGCCACTCTGAGTTCCCAAAGCAACCAGTGGAACAGCTACAGCAGGCTGGTTTCCCCCTCCTTCACATGTTATATATATATCAGTAACTGGTTGATGAATCCAATATTTAACATCAACGTAACAAGAACTCTGATATTTGCTTTCAAAGAAATATATACATACAATCACAGAAAACAGAACTCACGTGCCAAAGTAGCAGTTAAAGAAGGGGATGGTACAGCCAACATGGTCACCGATGAAGAAAGAAGATGCAGTTGGCCAACCAGGCTGATCTGCATAAAGAATTTTTTCAGTAACAATGCATAAATAACAAAAGTCAACATTGTCGAAGAACAACAATAATAGCAAGAAATGATTTTTCTCGTCACATTTTCTATGATGGTTGAAGACTATTCTAGTATATACCTGCAACCGGAAATAAACTTGAGAATGGATAGTCCAGAACACCATCATAATGATGCAAACAGCTTTCACAAAACCAAACCAAACCAAACCAAACCAAATGGACCCAGCATATCCCACTTGAAAGTACGGTTGGGGTGGGATGTACGCAGAACTTTCCTCTACTACAAAGAGTAGAGAGGTTATTACCATGCAAACCCCCAGCTAGATGCAAACATCTTTTACCTAGGTTCTAAATTCAATGATTTTATTGTATTTCTACCTCTAAGAATTATATTAACCCGATTGGCATCCCCCTCTTGAAGATTTATATGCACAACGTATCATACCCCTCAGACACGGCGGAGACTTCACAAACAAATAATTGGTATATAGAACCATAATTTTTGTAATATCAACCTCAATTTTTCCATCTGCTTAAGAAGTTATATCGATGATATTTAAGTGATAGTAGAGAAAGGACTGTTATATAACTCAACCATAAACAATACTCTGTAAAGAAAGAAGTCCCATTATGATGAACAACAAGCTATGTGCTTCAAGTCAAATAACAGGCTATGAGGCTAACATGAAATTCCCAAGTACCGATAAGTGAACATAATGAGGCACCATGAACTCACGCAAACCAAACTTGATCCGTAGCAGAGAAACTCCAAATTGATTGTGACTATTATCCAAGTTTCTTGTTTTTAATAAAAAAATAGCTTTGAATTGAAATGTATAATCTCCTTTTGTATTGGCATGCCAGTTTTCAGTACTGATGCTGTATACACAGGAACGCTAATACACTACCACCATTATGATATTGGCACAGACAAATGGGAAGGGAGAAATTCATTTATGACATTTGTACTGTAATAACCTCCTTGAATTGTAATATTGAGCTTATACTAAGAGACAGCAATAGAATTTATGCAACATGGTTCTAGAAAAAGTTTTAAGGATCAACCTTCAGTGCCAGCTCATCCGTGCTTCTTATGGAGACTGATGGATTACCCTTCCTAATATTCTCCTTATCTATTTGTTTAACCACATCCTTCACAGAGTCAAAGGAAGATTGCGCCCCTTCATCAGCATTTGTATCTAAAACTGGGTCTTTACTGATTTCTGCCACAACGCCAACATTTGATGTATCTTTCTTATTCTCTGTTAGGCCTTCAGCAGTCAGAAGCCAATTCCATATTTTTCCATCATCAGAAATGGATAGCAAATGTGTTCTAGAAATGACATGGGATTCATCACAAAAATCGAAGGGATTGTCAAAATCCATATCAAATTCCATGTCTGATGATGAAGCATGATGCCCATCATTAAGATGCTTGCGAACATTTTGGAGGGTGGAATCTGATTGAGAGATGACAACCGCAAGAACTGAGGGTGAAGGGACAGGTGTGCCAAGTGAGGGCATCAATTCTTCCATCATGCACATCACGTGTACCTGCTCTCCTCTGCGGTGATATGCAAATAAGTATATCCCCTCACATCCAGTAAAACACTTGTATATAACTATATGCGTACATAAGCAATTACAAAATACTAACATATTATAGTTGACGACAAAAATTGTTTAGTCAATGAGAGGTGCAAAGAATCCAAATGCAAAATCTAGCTTATCTGAAGTAGTCATCTTCATTGGTAACCATATTAAACAAAATCACTTCTTTAACTTCAAAATAGTGCAGTAGAGTTTCAGCATGTTTATTCCACAACAGAATCAAATAAACCAGATGTTGAAACAATTCTCTCATGCCGCTCAAATCAACCAATGTTTTAGCTTCAGACCATTAATTACCGAATTGATCTCTTCCTACTTCTAGCATACTTTCAAATAAATTGTGTTGCATATTCCTCACCCCTGCCACTACCCCTACCCCTACCCAACCAAACCAAAACACCGGAAATAAGAAAAAGACATAGTATATTATCAATAAAAGGGTTTTTTAGGTTTCATACATGAAACTGCCACGACTAATATCTATGTTTGATAAGAAGCAAAATAATCCAACATTGGTAACAAATGCCCTCCAAATATCTGGCAGGAACCTCAGATTTGGAGAAATTTCAGATCAACAAATCAATATCACCCCGAATTTGATTGAAAATTAAGTAATTATGGGCATATCAAAATCAAAATGCAAAAGGGAAACATATAGCTGATACCAAAGTGCGTGTATAACAAAATGACTACGTATCACAACTGAAAAGAGAAACCTATAGCTGATACCAAAGTATGTGTATAACTAAATGCCGGAAATAAGCAGTCATATATAAGATAGTGTTTCAGGTAAGGCAAGATAACTTACTCCTTCCGCCTCCATGCTGTAAGCCGTCCATCAAAATGAGCACAGTAAACCATCTCCAGGCTCGGGTCAGGCAAGACATCGAGAAACTTTCCACATCCCCTCGGTAATGAGGCACGGGATAGAGCCGTTTGATATTGCATATCGAACACAATCAATTCCCTAGGAAAAGTCACATACAAAATGTGCCTCCAATGTGGCGAAAACGCGATTTTCACTGTGTAAGTAGGAAACAGCGCCATCGCCGGGGAGTTGTTCATTGTACCGGAAGCACTAGCGCCGGCAGCTGCGTCTCTTTCCAGCTTATTCAATTCGGAGACATCGGTAGGAATTTGAAGTTCTTTCAATACAATGTCGGATTCGGAATTGTCGCCGTGGACTTTAATTGCCAGAAGGAAGCCTCTTAGACCTACGACACAGAAATGGCGGGAATCAAAGGGATCACGTTTAATGCACGAGAACGTTTCCGGAGCGGCGTCGTATTTGAAGAAGCACCGTCCGGTGGATGTCTCGAAAAGAGAAAGGAGTGAGGATCCGGTTATGGCAGCAATGATCCACGAATCGGGTCTGGCTTGGATCCAGCAGAGGTCTTGAATACCTAATTTAGTGTTCGTATCGGTTTGCAGAAAAAGTGGAGCAGATGATTTGACGCGTGGATCAAGGAGGCAAATACGGCCTTGGCGGTCACCGGCGGCCAAGAGTAGGTGGGAGTGAGAAGACGTAGGATCATGTGAGAGGAGATCGAGGCGGAGCGGAGTAGGGCACCAACGGACGGCGGTAACAAAGGGCGACAGTAAGGAGGAAGATGAAGAAGTGGTGGTAGAATTTCCGGCACCGACGGATGGAGGAGGAATCGGGAGGACCGTTACAAGCTGCATAGAGCGTGAGTCGACTATAGCGACACTGCTGCCGGCGGCGTAGGCAAGAAGTCCGGTAGAACGGAGGTCGGCAGAACCGCCGTTGTTGCGGGACGGTGGTCCTGGTAGCATATAGTCCCATGAGTCTTGTGGTGGCCGTTGCATCGACGACATTGTCGCCGGTCTGATTCTCCGTTGAGCTGATTTTGACCGTAACGGGATCGGACAGTCTTCAGTTACATATCTGTTTCAACTGTTGTCAAATATGGACTTATTTTCTCTTCGAGGTCCCCTTATTTTACGTTATTGCACTTAAGGACCTAAACTTTTAGAAATAACAAAATACAAACTAAAATAACATACTTTTTCCAAATTTGGTCCTCGTAATTATAATCTATCTAATTCTTGATAACAAAGCTTTACTTCTTTTGGTGGTGTTCGGATGTGTATTTTTAAAGTGATTTTTAAGAAAAAATCATAACTAAATAACCAGTTTTATATAAATTAAGGGGTCGTTTATCGAGCACTTACCCGGTAAGCACTTAACGGTAAACTTAACACTATCATTTACTTACCGAATAAGATTTTAGTCCACCAAAACGGTATCGTATGCAATAATTTACCCGGTAAGCACTTATCATGGTAAGAGTCATCGCCCTTACTTACCGGGTAAGACTCTTGGTCATTATCTCGCTCTTATCGAGTAAGATTTTTGGTCCTTACCATATTCATCCGGTAAGGTAAAATGACTTGGTATTCATTTACCCGAGTAAGCGTTTGGTAAACGGCCCCTAAGACTATTGTATTAGGTATTGTATGTTTTGTCCAAAACTGTTACATGATTACATGAGGCATTCAATCCTCTTTAGGCAACCTTAATTTCGCTCCTCAACCAATGTGAGACCTTATAATTCACCCCCTTTAGAGACCCATTTGTAACATTTCATGACAACTTTGCCAGATATTGTCCGTTTTGACCACGTCTAGACTCATGGTTTAAAGCGCGTCTAGTAGAAGATTTGTACAGTCCCTTATAAGGTAATCTTAAGATTCATTTACCAAACGTTTACTGGGTAAGTACTTATCGACAAAATCCAACACTATCACTTACTTAGGCTTTGTTTGGCTAACATAAGCTAGCTTATTTTCTGTGTATATGTTCGGAGGACCAAAAACTAGTTTATTAAAATGCTACTTGGAGTAGCATTTTGGGAGCTTATTGTGATTTTTTCTAGTTATAACCCTCATTAATATTAATTATTATTTATTACTATTAATAAGTATTAAATAAAAATAAATTATTATTATATTAATAAATATTATCAGAAAGTAAATATAAATTTTTAAAAAATATTTATATAAGTTATATAAAATTACTTATTTTATATATAAACAATAAAAATGTGTTAAATGATTTTAGTAAAATATTTAATTTAATTATTAATTATGTGTTTTAAAAAATTATGAATTAATATTAGAATATGTGAGGTTGACACTTTTGTGTTTATTCATACTAACAAGTTACCTGTGCGTGCTGTTGCACGAAGCATGCTGATTTTGAAGCCGAAAACTCGAAATAACAATTTTGTTTCTCATTTTCTTCTATTTTCCATTTATGATTTTGTGTGGTATATAAATGCAAGTTCATCATGTTCTATTGGTGAATTGGTATTTTAAAACGCCAAATTGATAGTGGTGAACGATGACCAAAATAAGCCACCATCATATATAAGATCGTTCAAATTGGAATGACTTTTGATACAGATGAGGTGTACATGTAATTTTGTATGGGTAGAATGGGCATGGATGAGATCATAGAATTAAAAAGACCATATATATACATATATATATAGGGGCCTATTCAAAGGAGAACTGAGTTGTTTGTGGTAACTGTGAGAACCAATATTAACCACAAATCAATAGATAAATTAGGAAATTTATAAATTTGGTAATTTTAAATTAAAATCTTAATGCAAGGATATTTTTGGTATTTTAAAACTCTCCTCTCTCCTCTCTTCTCTCTCCGGCTACCGTTCTCCGGCCTCCGGCCACCGTCCTCCGGTGATACCACTATGATACCACTGTGATACCTAAAAATATTGACTCTGTTAAACAAAAGATACATTGTGATACCTAATCATATATAAGATGTATAGTGATACCACTGTGTTACATCTTCGATCGACCACACAAACGACATCAATGTGATACCCAAGCACATATATGATGCATTGTGATACCATTGTAGTATCACCGGAGGACGGTGGCCGGCGGACGATGGCCGGAGGACTGTGGCCGGAGAGAGAAGAGAGGAGGGAGAAAAGTTTTAAAATACCAAAAATATCCTTGCATTAATATTTTAATTCAAAATTGCTAAAATTATAAATTTCCTAATTTATCTATTGATTTATGGTTAATATTGGTTCTCACAGTTACCACAAACTAATTAGTTCTCATTTGATTAAGCCCCTATATATATATGTATATATTGAAGCTCGAAAGAGTGAGTATGTGTTCATGTATACTTTGTATTTTTATAATTGAATTATTAATTTAGAATATGAAATCATATCTTAATTGTATAAATCAAAGTTGTTTAGATATGATTAAGATTTATAAGAAAATAAAGTTATCAAGTGATTATGAATCCGTAACGTTTGGTTTAGCCTGGCGTTGGTTTAGCCTTGGATGTTGGAATAGCGTAAGTCACGCACCAAAGAGTGTAAGACATGCAGCCGTACCAGTCCAAAAGAAAGGTGGTCCAGTCATGGTGGTCCCGGACGGATACATAAATCACTAGGTAACCAAATTTTCAAATAAATCTAAATCATCTCTATAACATACTTTTATTTTACAATCAAGATGATGAATTTATTTTCTAAAGAACAAAATTCAAAAGAAATTAATGAAGAACATGACCTTCATATGAATTCTTCTGAAATTCATATCTCAGATATCGAACAAAGTCTTACTAATTGGTCAATTCCAAAACAAAACCCAAAGACGATTTATCAAATAGGAACTTTTGACTTTTTTCAAGGCTATTCGATTAAAACAAATGAACAAACCATTTCTATAAATAAAGATTATGAAAGTATCAAGCTTCTGTCAGAAAAATCTATAATTCTACATAGACAAAAATATAAGTTTATGCATATAGGATTAGTTCAAGTAGCTGTTAAACCCTTATTTAGATTAGGTATAGATGCCCCAGTACTTTTAGTCTTAAGAGATGCTAGGCATACAAATTTTCAAAATTCGATTTTAGCCATGGCATAAACAAATATATCTAATGGTCCAATATACTTTAATTGTTACCCAAATTTCTCAGTAGGTTTATTTGATCCAAACATTTTAGACACTTTAGTTTTAACAATTAAAACTAAGAATTTAGAATTCACTATAGACACAAAAGCGATAGCAGTAATATATAGAATTTGTTATAAAACTATGACTACCACTATAGATTTTTATAAAAAATTAGTTCATGCAGATAGCTCGCAATCGTTGCATTTGAACCTTCGTGGCCACAAGAAGATTTTTATTCCTCTTTGGATTTGAACCTGAGACCTGCTGGTACTTTTGACCTTTGGAGTCAAGCTCAAACCAATCAGGCAGTTCTTGTAACTTTTATAATTATGGTAGAGTGATGCATGATAAAAATGCTCTGTCCTTGTTCGTCGACCAACTTATGAATTTGGATTTTGAGATTGACATTAACAGTTTTCACATAACAAGCTCACAGAGGAAAGATGCTTCTTTTCAACAATTTCGTGGTGTTACGCACTCCAATTCAGTTGATATTTTTACCTCCGTCTGGTATTAGAAATAAAGGATGCGGTACTGGAAGACATCTAATCGGGCCCACAAAAAAGGCTGCATCTAAGGGGAAGAAACCGAAGAGGAAGTATGTGACATGTGGCGAGTTGGCTAGGCATAACAAACGTAACTGTCCGTATTGCGGCGATGGTGATTAATCTGATGCAACAAGTTTTTGGCTTCTTGTTATTCGTTTTAATAGTAATTTTCATACTTTGAAATTCATTGGGAATATAATTCTTTTAACATTCAAGTGATTGTTAAGAGAAATAAGATGGTTATGAAACTCATGAAACCAGTATTCCAATCGTAACAGTATTCGTCTTCATTGTATTACAGCAATACAATGTTTTAACTAAAATGTTATACTATTCATATCAGTAAATTCACTACATATTAAAGGAACAAAAACAACTTATCATATCCCAAAGTATGATGATCACTGATTTAAATTTTGAAAAAAATAATAAAAAAACAGACATTACATTTTTCCTTTATAATTATTATACATGTTTTATTTGTACCAAAAAAACTTGTGCGTAATTGCGACATTTGGACCAAAAAACATCATATTTGACCGATATAAAGGTTTACAAACAGTTACGTTAACTAAAACAAAACCATATATAAAATTCAACTGTTCTTTAAATTCATCAGTCGTTCAAGACATGTTGATTAGATATATTCCACAAAAGTCTACTGCTATGTTGACTCTTTTAAAATTTTACATTTATATTATACTAGAAGGGTACTCGCAAAATGCAGCGAGATACATCTCGATTTTAATTTTTTAATTTTTTATTATAATTTAATTTAAGTTTAATAATGAAATAACTTATTTTTGGTTTAATAATATCAATTTTATAAAGATAATAATTAAGTATTTTGTTAGAACTCAATAATTATCCTGATTATATTTTAGATTTTTTATATTTAAAATGAAATGTTTATCCTGTATTTGATTATGTTTATCCGCAATTAAGTTTTCTGTTAGAACTCAATAATTATCCTGATTATATTTTAGCTTTAATAAGTTGTACTTACGAACAATCTACTTGCAATCTTGAGTTTTAAGTAATATGCATTAATAAACAGTATTTTACGCATAAAAAAATGGTTTTTAAGAGTTTTTGTCAAATGCTTTATAATATAACTAGTTGTGTACCCGCGCAATGCGGCGGGAGCCATGAATTTTAACGATTTTGAAGTTCCACTGGTTTTATAAGATAAAATTTAACGATGGTATATGTTACACTTGGTCTTTACATATTAATACAATTTGAATAAATAAGAGTTATGGTTCCAATTACAGACTATCAATGAAAAAATTTGTATGACAATTTAAAATCTAATATATTTAAAATCCAACATATTTAAACGACTCCACAAATGTGTTCGATTTACACAAAGAGCAAAGAACCAAAAAACTTGAGTTTTAAGATAAACACTCAAAACCAATAAAGAAAACT